GACAGTAAATAAAGCCTAAACTGTTTACAGCAAGAAATGACTATATTAATATATTGTCTTACAAATATTAATAGCCAACCATAACCAATTCTAAAAATAAGTTAGCAAAATATAGATTAATAATTACAAGATTTTAGGATGTAATACAATATCTTCAGAATTGGATTGTTGAAATAATGACAGCCGTTTATCATTGTAAGACTGTCAAACATTTTAGACTGTGAGCATGTAATCACTGTGACAAATATTAATTGGCAAAACATGATATAAAATAAAAACAATAAACAATTAAAAAAATCAATATAAAATGCATCAAATATACTAAAATTATTAAATATTCACACATTCACAAAAGTAAAAAATTAAGATTTAATGGTCAATATAATAAGAAAAAAATAACATTTGATGTCTGGATATCAAATGACTACACTGTACTTCTTGCATGATCCCAGCCCCAGACCTTTACATCTGGGTCCCATTCAGCAAGAATCCATCACTCACTAATCCTTTCCTTGTTTCCATTTTCTTTATAGCACCTGTTAGTATGTCCATGCTTTATAGTTATTGGGTTATTGCCCATCTCCCTAACGACAGCAAGTATCATCTGTTTTAGTTGTAAGCTCATCTCTAGTGCCTAGAATGGTGTTTCTCACATGGTAGACATCACATTTTTTTTTACTTTTATTTAATGAATATAAATTTCCAAAGTACAGAATATTGATTACAATGGCTTCCCCCCCATAATGTCCCTCCAACCCGCAACCCTCCCCTTTCCCACTCCCTCTCCCCTTCCATTCACATCAAGATTCATTTTCCATTCTCTTTATATACAGAAGATCAGTTTAGCATACATTAAGTAAAGATTTCAACAGTTTGCTCCCACACAGAAACATAAAGTGAAAAATACTGTTTGAGTACTAGTTATAGCATTAAATCTCAATGTACAGCACATTAAGGACAAAGATCCTACATGAGGAGTAAGTGCACAGTGACTCCTGTTGTTGACTTAACAAATTGACACTCTTCTTTATGGCATCAGTAATCACCCTAGGCTCTTGTCATGAGCTGCCAAGGCTATGGAAGCCCCCTGAGTTCACTGACTCTGATCATTTTTTGACAAGGCCATGGTCAAAGTGGAAGTTCTCTCCTCCCTTCAGAGAAAGGTACCTCCTTCTTTGATGACCCATTCTTTCCACTGGGATCTCACTCATGGAGATCTTTCATTTAGGTTTTTTTTTCCCCCCAGCGTGTCTTCGCTTTCCATGCCTGAAATACTCTCATGGGCATTTCAGCCGGATCCGCATGCCTTAAGGGCTGATTATGAGGCCAGAGTGCTGTTAGGACATTTGCCATTCTATGGGTCTGCTGTGTATCTCACTTCCCATGTTGGATCGTTCTCTCCCTTTTTGATTCTATCAGCTAGTATTTGCAGATACTATTCTTGTTTCTGTGATCCCTTTGGTTCTTAGTCCTATCATTATGATCAATTGTGAACAGAAATTGATCACTGAGACTAGTGAGATGGCATTGGTACATGCCACCTTGATGGGATTGAATTCGAATCCCCTGGTATGTTTCTAACTCTACTGTTTGAGGTAAGTCAGCTTGAGCATGTCCCGAATTGCACATCTCTTCCCTCTCTTATTCCCACTCTTATATTCAACAGTGATCACTTTTCAGTTAAGTTTCAGCACTTAAGAAGAATTGTGCATTGATTACAGTATTCAACCAAAAGTATTAAGTAGAACAAACAAATAAAATACTAAGAGGGATAACATATTAAGCTTCTCATTAACAGTCAGGGTGAGGGCTGATCAAGTCACCATTCTCATAGTGTTCATTTCACTTTAACAGGTTTCCTTTTTGGTGCTTTTTTAGTTGTCACCTATCAAGGAGAACAAGTGGTATTTGTCCCTTTGGGATTGGCTTATTTCACTCAACATAATGTTTTCCAAATTCCTAACAGGGATCACTTTTCAGTTAAAATTTAAACACCTAAGAATAATTGTGTGTTAATTACAGAGTTCAACCAATGGTACTAGAACAAATAAATTACTAAAATGGATAAAGAATTACATTGTACATCAACCGTCAGGACAAGAGTTGATCAAGTAACTGTTTCTCATCAGAAAGATCATCCACCCAGACCAAGTGGGATTTATCCCTGGTATGCAGGGATGATTTAATGTGTGCAAGACAATCAATGTGATACACCACATTAACAGACTGCAGAAGAAAAACCATATGATTATCTCAATAGATGCCGAGAAAGCATTTGATAAAATACAACACCCGTTCATGATGAAAACTCCAAGCAAACTGGGTATGGAAGGAACATTCCTCAATACAATCAAAGCAATCTATGAAAAACCCACAGCCAACATCCTATTGAATGGGGAAAAGCTGGAAGCATTTCCACTGAGATCTGGTACCAGACAGGGAGGCCCACTCTCACCACTGCTATTCAATATAGTTCTGGAGGTTCTAGCCAGAGCTATTAGGCAAGAAAAAGAAATTAAAGGGATACAAATTGGGAAGGAAGAACTCAAACTATCCCTCTTTGCAGATGATATGATTCTTTATTTAGGGGACCCAAAGAACTCTACTAAGAGACTATTGGAACTCATAGAAGAGTTTGGCAAAGTAGCAGAGTATAAAATCAATGCACAAAAATCAACAGCCTTTGTATACACAGGCAATGCCATGGCTGAGGAAGAACTTCTAAGATCAATCCCATTCACAATAGCTACAAAAACAATCAAATACCTTGGAATAAACTTAACCAAGGACGTTAAAGATCTCTATGATGAAAATTACAAAACCTTAAAGAAAGAAATAGAAGAGGATACCAAGAAATGGAAAAATCTTCCATGCTCATGGATTGGAAGAATCAATATCATCAAAATGTCCATTCTCCCAAAAGCAATTTATAGATTCAGTGCAATACCAATCAAGATACCGAAGACCTTCTTCTCAGATCTAGAAAAAATGATGCTGAAATTTATATGGAGACACAGGAGACCTCAAATAGCTAAAGCAATCTTGTACAACAAAAGCGAAGCTGGAGGCATCACAATACCAGATTTCAGGACATACTACAGGGAAGTTGTAATCAAAAGAGCACGGTACTGGTACAGAAACAGATGGATACACCAGTGGAACAGAATTGAAACACCAGAAATCAATCCAAACATCTACAGCCAACTCATATATGATCAAGGATCCAAAACCAATCCCTGGAGTAAGGACAGTCTATTCAATAAATGGTGCTGGGAAAATTGGATTTCCACATGCAGAATCATGAAGCAAGACCCCTACCTTTCACCTTACACAAAAATCCACTCAACATGGATTAAAGACTTAAATCTACAACCTGACACCATCAAATTATTAGAGAGCATTGGAAAAACCCTGCACGATATAGGTACCTGCAATGACTTCTTGGAAAACACCCCAGAAGCACAGGCAGTCAAAGCCAAAATTAACATTTGGGATTGCATCAAATTGAGAAGTTTCTGTACTGCAAAAGAAACAGTCAGGAAAGTGAAGAGACAACCGACAGAATGGGAAAATATATTTGCAAACTATGCAACAGATAAAGGGTTAATAACCAGAATCTACAAAGAAATCAAGAAACTCTAAAACAACAAATCTAACAACCCACTTAAGAGATGGGCCAAGGACCTCAATAGACATTTTTCAAAAGAGGAAATCCAAATGGCCAACAGACACATGAAAAAATGTTCAAGGTCACTAGCAATCAGGGAAATGCAAATCAAAACCACATTGAGGTTCCACCTCACCCCAGTTAGAATGGCTCACATTCAGAAATCTACCAACAATAGATGCTGGAGAGGATGTGGGGAAAAAGGGACACTAACCCACTGTTGGTGGGAATTCAAACTGGGTAAGCCACTATGGAAGTCAGTCTGGAGATTCCTCAGAAACCTGAATATAACCCTACATTCAACCCAGCCATCCCACTCCTTGGAATTTACCCAAAGGAAATTAAACTGGCAAACAAAAAAGCAGTCTGCACATTAATGTTTATTGCAGCTCAATTCACAATAGCTAAGACCTGGAACCAACCCAAATGCCCATCAACAGTAGACTGGATAAAGAAATTATGGGACATGTACTCTATAGAATACTATACAGCAGTCAAAAACAATGAAACCCAGTCATTTGCAACAAGATGGAGGAATTTGGAAAACATCATGCTGAGTGAATTAAGCCAGTCCCAAAGGGACAAATATCATATGTTCTCCCTGATTGGTGACAACTGAGCACCAAAGGGGAAACTTGTTGAAGAGAAATGGACACTATGAGAAACAGTGACATCACATTTTTTGTGTGCCATCTTCATAAAACTGGGATACACCAAAATTAACTGCAAAGTCCACCAACTTGGAAAAGATAAATTTCCTAATGCCCTTACAGTGAATAGCAAATCATATTGCAATGAAAATTAATGGTATGGTTTACCACAGAATAAAAAATCTGTTCATATACCTGTGTAAATATTTTACACATTGCTTGTGTTCATATGAGAATAACAAGGACACAAAAGAGTAAAAAAGAGGAGAGAGTGAAAGGGAAAGGGAAGGTAGTTATCATGAAGAAGAGAGACTGAAGATGAAGGAGAGATAATGACCTAGAGGAAGAATGAAAAAAAGACTAGAAGAAGGGACTTCAGGATAGGTGTAGTGCACTGATAATTTTAAAAATAAGATATTAACAGTGATTTATAAAGAACAATATATTACAAATAAATTTTTGTGTATGCTTTTCTCCAGTTTTATGAATAATATTCAAGAGTGCCAAGCATTTTTTTTTTCAAATAGAATTTTGAATGAAAGAATCTACCTAGCCTTTTGTTCTTTAAATATTCATCTTTACAATAGCACTGGCCTGTATTAAGGTATGTGAGGTGGGCAGGGATTTGTCAGCCACTTGATAAGCCTTTCCTAGGAGATGTGTTCAAAACCAGGGCCACTTACTTTGTATGATCCACCCACGGCCTGTGGTTTTCTTCTCCTTGATGAATGCTGATTCCATTGCCAAGCCCCCATCTGAATATGTTTGAATCCTGAAGTAAATTCACTGGAATCGGCTGATACCATTTACACAAGTTTCTGTTTTCAAAGCTGCAAACTTCCGAAACTTGGTTAAGGTGAGACAAAGAAAATGTCAATAAACAGTAATTTCTATCAGCACCAGCCCTTTTCTATCCTTGGTTTATTCTTATTATAATCTAACTTCTATGTATTATTAAAATAATTATACCAGAGGCTGTCACTGTGTCACAGGGAGTTAAGCTGCGACCTGCAACATTGGTACCCATATGGGCATCAGTTCAAGTTTTCTCCAGCTCCCTAATAATGTGCCTGGGAAACCAGCTGAAGATGGTCCAAGTACTTGGGCCTCTACCACCCACACACGAGACCCAGATGGAATTCCTGGCTCCTGGCTTCTGCCTGTCCCAGCCCTGGCCATTGTGGCCACTTGGGGAGTGAACCAATGAATGCAAGATCTCTCTCTCTCTCTCTCTCTCTCTCTGTGTGTGTGTGTGTGTGTCTGTAACTCTGCCTTTAAGAAACAAATAAATATTTAAAAAAAAAACTATACCAATGTTTGTGAGATCATTGAAAGTTTCCAAAAAAAATCTAGGTTTATTCTGTTTAAATATGTATAGTGACTGAAATATGATATGAGAATAAGTGAATACACCAAGAATCTGCTCTTATGAGGAGGCTAGAGCAGCAATTTGATCATTGCCAGTCTGATCCACCATCATACACACTTGCCTGCATGAACTCCAAGTCCTAGCAAGTCTGTTCTCCTTTAACTACACTAATAGCACCAAGCTGGATTTTTAGCTCAGTCTCTAAAGGGATTATTGCAACTTCCAAGTTACTCAAGTTCAAAGAAGGAGACTTACAGTAACATATACTTTGAACATGATTCCTTGAAATATTTTCAGACTCTAACAGTGATTATTCTACTATACAAATTGCAAGTTTAATGATTTTTAAATATATAGTTTTTACGTGAAAGTGCTTTCTGAACTTTCTATTTCTCTTGCTCTCTCAATATGAGCATATACCTATCATAAATCCCCACTGCTTGAATAAATAAAAGAAACACATTCAATTCAATGAGCTCTTAGGTACATTACTGAAAACCTGGTATGAGCACCTATTTTTGAATGATACTTTAGAGTCATGGCATACCACTACCACCAAGTACACAATTAGAATGTGTGTTCACATATATTCTGAAAAGGAAACACTCCATTGAGGAAAAGTGCTGTCCAATCATGACATTCAAGTGTGTGATTCAATTTCTGATAATAATGATTATTAATCTTAATGATTATCAATTAAAATAATGATTATTCAATCTCTGATAATATGATTCTATATGATACAATCATATTTATCCCATGAGGAGGATTTAAGATTCAATATAATCTGGTTTTTCATATAATTAAACAGATAAAATTTCAGATCTTTCAAAAAACAGATGGCCAAAATATCAGTCAAGCAAGATGAACGGGCCCTTGAGATCTGCTGTACAACATTAGACTTCATGTTGTGCAATTAGCAATTTATTAAGAAGGTTTATATCATATTTTATGTTCTTACTACCATTTTTTTAAAAATAGAAAATATAAGACTGTAGTGGTCAAACAGATTTATATTAGTTGATCTTAGAAAAAATGGATAGATGGTAAGACTATATAGCTTGTTTATAAATGAAATAGTAATAATTCAATTAATATTTATTCAAAATAATGATTTTCATTAAAAATATACAGATAATATTAATATAGGACATTTAAAGGATTTAGCAAAACTTCCCTTCTAGTCATAATCCAAATAACTAAAATTACAAAGTGGAACAATGAAGACAGTCAGTATTATGAACTTTTATACACTACACATATATGTGATTATTAGATTTCAGTTATTCCACGAGAAAGTCTGAAAACCATAGCATCTCCCATGGTGTCACCTTACATCTGTGATGCAAGGTACCCCCACCTAACATGACTTACTTACTGCCTCATCTCACTCACAGAGTGAGAAAGCTTTGACTTTATGATTTGGGTGTGTGTGTGGGGGGGTCTAGTTATTTAATGTTTGGTACACTTGTATATTAAGAAATAATATTTAGGTTAAAATAATAAATATGAACCTTACTATATCTCATAAGTTCTAGAATATCTTGACAAAGTTGATATGACACAAAAGAGTTTCACTATATTATGTATCATCTGTTTGTTCTGAATCTTTAACATTATCAACAGACTTGAGACACAGAGTGAATTTATATCCCACTTAACAAAGATTGAGGAAAGGAGACATAGTGCCGAGTGAGCCTTCTGATTTGCTGCTTCACCTATTCAGACCCGGATTAATCTTTCCCTTCTTAGACCACATCCTTTGCTGAGAAGTTCAATTTTAAATTAAATAATATGCCTTCAATTATTCTAGGAAAAGCCATGTAGCAGCAGCTACCAATAAATGAAAACCATCTTTCACCAGAACACAGATTGAAGGTCTTATATGGCTTAAAACTTTTTTTTTGGTATGAACTCTGCATATTTTATATAATATTCAAGTTAATCATAAGTGTACATTTTGGTAAAGGCAGAATTTGAATGAGTTTATTAATTTGAGAGAATTATAAAGTTTGCTTCCTAAGCAGCACCTTCTAGATAGTTTGAAGAATAAAAAAGGGAGATAGATAGAGAAGACCTAGTAAATAATATTCCCAGAGTCAAGTCAAGTTCATGAAAACAATGATTCTGAATCCAGAACACTAATATAAAGATACTTATATGTGGGTTGGCCTTATGAGAAAAAATGTATGTTTTTCTGTACAAAAAAACCGTGTTGAAAATAAATAACTAAGGTCCTAGGCGTGCTACTCAGAGATTATACTAGTATTTTCTTATCTATTTTAGGAATTCACCTACCACAGGTTGATTCATCGGATTGGTCAGGGCAGTCATATCTAAAATCACATCTCTGAATCTTGTCAACACAGAGGCCATCAGACCTGCAGACAAACTCATTGTCTGTGCAGTTATGTGGAGGTAACGTTACTGGAACTGAAGTTTCTGGGGGAGCTGGAAGGTCCACCGGCAAAGTACCTTGATGAGAAGTAAAAGAGAGATGCCATTCAGTAGGTTTTCCATTGCTTTAAAGATTATATACAATGAAACCTTCTCTGTATGCTTTGTGTTAAATACTATAAAGAATAATCGATAGTACTGGCTAATCTACTAAACTCCTTTGTGTAGTATGATTTTATATATATATATATAGATTCTAATTCTTAGTATGTTAAAAATACTAAAATAGAAAATAGTCTTCAAAAGTATAAAAATAGGTTAATGTGCATTAGAAAGTCATAGAAAAGCTAGTCAAAGCTCATTAAATAAATAGGAAGCACAAGAACAACACTTGGGAGATCAGCAGGAACCAAGGAAGTTAGATATAGACATTAAGAATCAGAGTTGGGGCTGACATTGTGGCACAGTGGGTTAAGCCACCGCTTACAAGGCCAGCATCCCATATGAGTGCCAGTTCAAGTCCAGTCTGTTCATTTCAGATTCAGTTCCCTGCTTTCCCTACTAATGCACCTAGGAAAAGCAGGGGAAGATGGCCCAAGTACTCTTGGCTTCTACCTGGCCATTATGGCCATTTAGGGAGTGATCAGCAGATGGAAGATACCTCTCTGCCTCTCTCCCTTTTCCCTCTCTCCCTCTCTCTCACCCCCTCTCCCTCTCCCCCTCTCCCCTTCTTCCTCTCTCCTTCTATCTAACTCTGCCTTTCAAATGATGAAGAAGGAGGAGGAGGAAAGTGGAAGAAGAAGGAAAAAGAAGAAGAGAATAAGAAGAAGGAGGAGGAGGCAGAGAAGGAAAAAGAAGCATAAAAGTCAGTGCCCTAAAGGCTGGCACTGTGTCAAAACAGGTAAGGCTGCTGCCTGCAGTGCTGGCATTCCAAATGAGTGCTGGTTTGAGTCCCAGCTGCTCCACTTCCAATCCAGCTCTCTGCTATGGCCTGGGAAAGCAATGGAAGATGGCCCAAGTCCTTGGGCCCCTGAATCCACATGGGAGACCCAGAAAAAGCTCCTGGCTCCTAGCTTCAGGTAGGCTCAGCTCTGGCTGTTGCGGCCAGTTGGGGAGTGAACCAGCAGATGGAAGACCTCTCCTCTCTGCCTCTCCTTCTCTCTGTGTAACTCTGACTTTCATGTAAATAAATAAATCTTTTAAAAAAAAAAGTCAGTGGCCTAGGTTGTGGAACTGCTGGGCAATTCCAGAGCACCATTCTGCTCCTTTCTTAAAAAAAAAAAAAAAAAATGATTGATTTACCTGAAAAGGAGAGCTACAGAGAGGCAGAGAGAAAGAGAGAGGCCTTCCATCCACTGGGTCACTCCCCAAATAGCTGAAATGGGAAAGATAGATCTCCCATCTGCTGGTCCACTCTCCAAATGACTGTAATAGGTGGGGCAAGACCAAGCTGAAATTGGAAGCCAGTAACTCATTCTGGGTCTCCCACATGGATGGCAGGGATCCAACTTCTTAAACAATCATTTGCCCAGAGCTGGGCCAATCCAAAGCCCGGAGCCAGGAGCTTCTTCTGGGTCTCCCATGTGGGTGTAGGGGCCCAAGGACTTGGGCCATCTTCTACTGCTTTCCTAGGCCATAGCAGAAAGCTAGATCAGAAGTGGAGGTGTACAGACTCAAACCATCATCCGTACAGGATGCCGGCACTGCAGGCAACAGCTTTATCTACAAGCCACAGTGCTGGCCCCTCTGCTCCACTTTTGATTCAGCTCCTTGCTAATGTGTCCAGAAAGGCAGCAGGAGATACTCCGGGGGCTTGGTCCCCTGCCACCTACATGGAAGACCCAAATGGAATTCTTGGCTCCTGGCTCAGCCAGGCTCAGCCCTAGCCATTGTAGCCATTTGAGGAGTGAAACTGGGGATGAAAGATTTCTTTCTCTGTCACTTTTTCTCTTTCTGTCACTCTGCTTTTCAAATAAATGAAATAAAAACACTTTAAAAAACAAATCAAGGTCTGAATAAAGCTAGCTCACCTGGTAAATAAACTTTATTTTTCCACTGCTACAATGAATTTGTTGCCCATATGCATACACATTTAAGACTCAAAGTTACAGCAAAGCAGGAATCTTCATATGAAAGTTTTGAACAATGAGTTTTTAACTTCCAAAATTACAAAAATTGGAAGATTTGCAGAGAATTTGATAGAATTAATTTACATATTAAATGATTCAATAAACATATAATGTCATGTGTCAAATATGCCATTTCTACCACAAGATCATATATAGACAAGTACACAAGGTAGTCACATATATATCTCACCATGATTCCCAAGATAAGATTGTGTATAAGAGGCTGACATTCTGGTGTATCAGGTAAAGCCACTACCTCCAATACAGACATGCCATATGGGCACCGATTCTAGTCCCAGCTGCTCCACTTCTAATCCAGCTCCCTGCTAATGGAGTAGGAAAGCAGTGGAAGATGGCCCAAGTGGCTGGGCCCCTATACCGATGTGGGAGACCCTGATAATGCTCCTTGCTCCTGGCTTCAGCCTGGCCCAACCCTAAACGTTGGGGCCATCTAGGGAATGAACCAATAGATTAAATCTCTCTCTCTCTCTCTCTCTTTTTCTCTCTCTCTCTCTCCTTCTCTCTCTGTAACTCTGACTTTCAAATAAAAAATAAATCTGAAAAAGATTATGATCGCCTGGAGGTTGGTGTACTTGGGTCGGAGAGGGTCATTGCCCTTGGGGTTCTATTAAGATGATCATTTCAGCTCTGTCACTCCAGCCTTGATTCTAATCAACCCAAATATCAGTGGATGGGGTTGGGTGAGGCAGGACAGAGGGAGCCCACTGTCTAACAATCTGGACTGCTATAGGAGCAGCCCTGCTGCTCGCCTCAGAAAATGTTATCATAAAGACAGATAAAGTGTTTGAAGTTATGCTGGCTACGGATCGTTCCCACTATACCAAATGTTATGCTTATATGGATTCTGCACAATCAATAGGTTTCCAAGCAACAACCAGTGCTCCACACATGCATGCATATGCACTATAACTTCTATTTGATCAATTACATGAAGGAGCTAAAGCTCTTGATGTAGGAGCTGAAAGTGGAATTCTTACTGCATGTATTGCACGTACAGTGGGATGTACTGGAAAAGTCATAGGAATTGATCTCATTAAAGAGCTAGTAGACGACTCAATAAACAATGTCAGAAAGGATGACCCAACACTTTTGTCTTCAGGAAGAGTACACCTGGTTGTGGGGGATGGGCAAATGGACTATGCTGAAGAAGCCCCATAGGATACTATTCATGTTGGATCCGCAGCCCCAGTCGTGCGCTAGGCACTAATAGACCAGTTAAAGGCTGGTGGAAGATTGATATTCCCAGTTGGTTCTGCAGGTGGAAACCAAATGCTGGAGCACTACAAGAAGCTACAAGATGGCAGCGTCAAAATGAAGCCTTTGATGGGGGTGATCTATGTGCCTTTAACAGATAAAGAAAAGCAATGGTCTGGGTGGCAGTGATTTTATCTTCTGCTCTTTTCTTCTTCCACACATGCAAGGGATGAACTCTAAGAACACCAGTTTGATGATCCTATGATATTTCAGTGGGTTGCTCATCTCAGTCCTCAAAGCTTTTTGGAAACCAACAGCATCACAGCTTGTTTTGGACTTTGTCACACTGTTATTTGCAGCATGAGAATGTGTGGTTTTGTAGGGTTTTCTAATTCTTCAAAGAGGCACAGAGCCCGACTAGCAGAAGAAGGCTGCAGAATAGGAGTGTGTGTGTTACTTCTTTCACATGCCCACAGTTTACTTCAAAATCGGAAAATGAGAGGTTCTGCAAAATGGAAAAATTTTAGTTTATGACTGATTTTGAGGAGTGGTTTTCCTTTTCTTGGATACTTAATTTTGTTCTGATGTTAATTTATCAAATTTCTTCTATGTATCACATAACACCACCATTCACAAGTTAAATTCTTGGCATTTGGGTATCTGTTAGATGCTACTCAGAAAATAGAGATGAGCTTCCTTTTTAAAGCTTTTGATGTGGTGTCATAGAATAGGATGTTGTAGACACAGTCAGTTGCTTTGTTACCTTCAAACTAGGCATTTGTAAATAATGAAACTTAGATGGCAGGTGTAAGCACTCTGCTGTTCAGATAGGACATAACTGACAGTTCATGCTTTCTCTCTAAAAGTGACAGGGGACTTTTAGCTTAGCATTGTTTTCTGTGTGTGTATGTGTTTCTAATTTGCTGCTGATAATGTATATGAATCTAACATGCTGAGTAAACTGTATTTTTGTTACTTCCCAGTTTATGCAGTGCTGCTTTGCCAAATAAAAGTTCAGAGAAAAAATAAAAATGAAAATGAAAAAGATTATGATCAAGATTATAATTCCATGGAAGCATGAGTGGTATCAGTCCTTTTACCCCTGTAACCACAACACCATTCATAAAACATGGTATATGGTAGGTATAATATCATTGGCAAGTGAATGGATGGACAGATGGCTGAAAAACAGAGTAAATAAATGAGCAAATGGACTATGTCTGAGTTCATTAAAAGAACACAGAGGGAATAAAGCATATATTATAGGGGGAGTCAAGGAAGACTTCTTGGCCAAGTGATGCCTAAAACGAACTTTGAAAGGATGATAAGTTCAACTGCTATGTGAAGAAGGATACATGATATTTATGGGGAATAAGAAAAGACTTTGAAGTGCCCTGTGTTTGTGTTCTTATCTCTGTCTCCTGATTTGAGCTCGCTGGCAATGCTCATCCTGGGAGGCAACTGATGATGGCTTAAGAAGTTGGGTCCATGCTGTCCATGTGGGAGACCCAGAATGAGTTACCGGTTCCCAGTATCAGCATGGTTCAGCCCCAGCCATTTCAGTCATTTGGGGAATAGACCAGCAGATGGCAGAAATTCTCTCTCTCTTTCTCTATCTCTCTTTTTTTAAAATTTTTAAAACTTTTATTTAGTAAATATAAATTTCCAAAGTACAGTTTATGGATTACAACGGCTTTCCCTCCCCCCCATAACTTCCCTCCCATTCGTCCCATC